TTGTTTATTAATCTCTTAGTAAGCAAGGAAATTACTTCCTCCAGAGCTACCAAACTTTTATTTTCTGTTAGACATGTAGATACTATTTATTTGATTTACTTGGATCAGGGCTGCGAACCACTGTTTAAATCACAGTTATTTTAATCATGGTTATTATAAAAATTAGTAATGGTTAAGAAAAATGGATCCTGAGGAGAGGAGGTGGGAGGGGAGGAGACGAACTATGAAAGGACAATGGGAGGGATGTTTGTGATGACAGAACTGCTCTGTGGTGTTGACAGAACTGCTCTGTGGTGTTCGATACATGAAACCACATGCATAATAAAACTACACAGATATAAATACAGGCACACACATATCTGCTTAAAAGTAAAGCTGGGAAAAAGTAAAGATGAGTGGATTATACCAATGCTAATATTCTGATTGTGTGTACTGTAGTCTTGCAAGGCATTACCTTTAGAGAGTACACAGGATCTCTCTGTATTTATGTCCTATAACTTCATGTGAATCTACACTTTCTCCCAAATTAAAAAATTTTAAAGTACTAAGTTGATGAAAATGAATAACACATATTCATAACTAATTTTTTAAAAGGAACAAATTTAGAAGCTTGCCTTTTTGCTTTCTTAATGATGTCTTTTTATTAAGAGATCTCAATTTTAATAAGATACAATTTAATCAGTCTTTTTCTTTGTGATCAGTTATCTTTCTGTCCAGTTTAGTTTTGAAATTAATGTTTGGGTATGTATAGCTAGTCAAGATATACTGTTGTCTGTATGACTACCCAATTGACCCAGGACAACATATTGACATGATCACCCTTTCCTCACTGCACTAGAGTATCATTTTTGTCACAGGTCAAGTGACCACATATGTGTAGGTCCGTTTCTGGACTCCATTCTTTTCCATTGGTCTATTTGTCTATCTTATAGCCAAAGCCACACCATTTTGTTCTAAACATTATTTTACCTTAATAATAAAAGATAATACATAGGAATAGGCCTTCCAACTTTGTTCTTCTTCAAAATTCTCTTGGCTATTCTTGGCCGTTTGCAATTACACATAACATTTGAAATCAGCCAGTCAATTTTTGCCAAAAAAAAAAAAATGCTGGGATTTTTACTGGGACTGAAATGAATCTATACATCAATTTGGGAAGAACTGACATGTTTGCATTAGTAAGTTTTCCTAGCCATTAATTTGGTGTAGCTCTCTACTTATTTAGGCTTTATTTAATTCCTCTCAGAAATAGTATACAGTTTGATACGCAGAGTTCTTGTACTATTTTAGATTTATTCCTAAGTATTTAATTATATGTTATTATAAATTTTATCATCTAAAAGTTTTAGATTATATTATAATATAGGATTACAATTTTTTATATATTGACCTGTGTTTCTCTTTCTCATTGCTCTTAATTTATTCCTGCATTTCTGTGCTTCCATCTGGGATCATTTTTCCTTCAGCCTGAATAATTTCCTTCAGCAATGTTTTGTGCGGGTTTGTTGGTGGGGATCTTGTTTCTCAATGTTTGTTTTCTAAACACATTTTTATCTTATCTTCATTTCTGAAGGATATTTTGCTGGGTATAGAATACTAGGTTAGCTCCTTCTAAGACATTATTCAGCTTTTTATGGCTTTCCTCATTTCTGTAAAAAGTCAAGTGTGTCTTATTATTCTCTTTTGAAATTAATGTGTCTTTTAATCCATTATTTGTAGGTTTTCTCTTTGGATTCTGCCTCAAGGATTTGTGGAGGAGGAATGTTGCATGTGCAGCTTGACAAGGTGAGCTCGTATTAGTCTTCAAGATGTGAGGCCTCCTTCTTCCTCCCAGGTATCAAAAGCCATCACAGCTTTTCAGCAAAAGTACCTACATGGACTGCCCCTGCCCCCTTCAGGAACAAGTCCTTTTGCCACCTACCGCATGTACAAGTGGGAGTAAGGTTGAGAGGCGGCCCTACCTGTCTCTACCAATAGCGGTGCCTCAATCAATAACTCACACACTGTTCAAGGACCCTACTGATGCCAATAGTCTTTTTCTATGTACATAGAACATCCCCAAGAGCCACCTGCATTTCTGCATTAAGCCTCTGTATGCAACTTTTGTCTGTCTACCTTCAGTCCAATCCCATCTGCTTCCTATTTTTCCAAGGATTCTCATAGTGTCTGGTCCATTGAGAGCACTCCTTCATGTTTTTCAATGTGAAGGTATGTGCATGATACACATGTGTTTGTGAACCCATGTAACTTTTTTGTAATTTTTAGACTTGGGAAAGAGGGGAGGAGTTGGGAGAGTCTAGAACTTGCTCTCAGTTGGCCATCTTGATTCAATCTCGGCTAAAATTTTAAGCACATATTGAACTCTTTTAATACCAAACACAGACAGCTGCTAGAATCATATGATCTAATGTGGAAATCTCTGCTTCTGAAGTGATGTCATATTAAGCTATTTTAATTTAAGGTGTGGTCTCCATGTTAAAACTGGCATCTGCATGACATATGTGAATAAATTTCATTTTCCCTCATTAAAATTACCTTCTAGATATTAATACTAGATCTCAAAAGAATTAAGAGTTCTGTATTACAGATTTCTATAAACATATAACAGTAAAAACAAAAATATTTTTGCTCAACTACAACAAAAAATATTTTTAAAAGCTAGCTATTTTTAAAAATCTGTTAAGTGCTAAAATTAAAAATAAGAAAAAGCAACTCAGATCCTCAGATTAAAAAAACAAAAACAAAAAAGAAAGATCCTGAGATGTTATTTCCCTGTTCTCAGCCCTAAAATTACTTCAATCAACAGACCCTTTTGCCAACACTAATAAATTCATGAATAATTAATCGTTGATTTACCACTGATTGTTACAGTGTAAATTCCAAATTTGTAAATCTATGATAATCTCCAACTGGTTGTACAATAGAAATTTTATATAAACACTTGCAATTCTGAAATAATATAAACTCTAAATATTTTTAAGAGCTAAATCTAAAGAGTTCAACAAAACATTCTCTTAAAAAATATTTAGGGGCACCTGGATGGCTCAGTCAGTTAAGTGTCCAACTTCAGCTCAGGTCATGATCTCACAGTTCATGTGTTCAAGTTCCACATCAGGCTCTGTTCTGACAGCTCAGAGCCTGGAGCCTGCTTTGGATTCTGTGTCTCCCTCTCTCTCTGTCCCTTTCCCACTCATGCTCTGTCTCTCTCTCTCAAAAATAAATAAACATTTTTTAAAAAGAAAAGAAAAAATATTTAATGCACATCTAACATTTCCTAGGTATCATTCTAGGCCTGGAATATATCAGTGAACAAAACAGACAAAACTACCTGGTTTGTGGAGTTTATGTTCTAGTAAATACATATAATTTGAATGATCTGAATTTGGCCCTTTCCTACAGAAATTACTAATAAGGCAGATAAATGCTTTATGCCCAAACACAGATATACATATCTCTTCTAGCAGTCCATCACACAATCACATGAAAATATATTTGACTTACAGCTATAAAATAAGTAAGTCATGGAGATGAAAAGTATAGCATAGGGAATATCAGTAATATCATAATCCTGTTTGGTGACAGATGGTGATTACACTTAACCATGGTGAGCACAGGATAACATAAAATTGTTGAATCAATATGTGGTACACCTGAAACTAATGTAACTTCAATAAAAACTAACTATATAACTAAATAAGAATACGTTTGAAACATTTATACCACAGAGATACACTCCAAAACATTAGAATGTCAATACCCTGTCAGAGAATGTGAGAAAGATCAAGGGTCCTAAAATTTATCTGCCTACGTTATTCACTTGGAAAAGGAGGTACTGGCTAGAATTTAGGTAAGTACACCAGATTTTAAATAACTCCTGCCAGATCTCAATTTCTACCTCCAAAATAAGCAACTGAAATAATAGATGTCAGACCTGTGCAGATTGAGGAAAACACTGGGTCTCAGCCAGAGCAGATTTTGATCATCCAGAGTTGTACTGTCCAAAATGGCAGCTGCTAGTCACATGTAGTTATTTAACTTTGAATTAATGAAAAATTTAAAATTCAGCTCCTAAGTCACAGTTAGCCACATTTCCAGGGTACAGCAGCCACGTATAGCCTGGATATATATAGACACATATAGCACTGAAGAAGTGCAGATAGAGAACATGCCCAACACTGGAGAACGTTCTATTAGATGGTGTTAGAATCAGAATAAACCACCGCTGCTCCTGGGAAAAACCAAAACTTTCCCAAGAGGGCTACAAAAAGTGGCGATTATAAAAGCAAAAACTAAGTTTTCTTCTCTCTCCCTTGGCTATTTTCATTCTTGCGTCTTGGAGAAAATGTCTCTCCTTTCCTTACTCTTTATCTCCCTCGCTTCTCACATTTTTTCCTACCCCATTTCTCACCCCCTTCTCCAGTTTCTCTAATAACAACTACGTAGTCCACAGGTAATAATTACAGCATTTATTGAGTTTTAACTTTTTAAATATTTCTCCATGTTAAAATTTAAGAAGCCGAATCTTTCTGTTTCCAAAAAATACAATATTTAGAGGTGACCTTTTTTAAAGGTATATATGACTTTCAGTGTGTTTTCCTCCCCGAGATCATTATTTTTCCTTAGAAAGAGTTTTTCACCTCCAGGATCCGGGGTGGAAGAGATGTACAACTCTCATTTCAGCCTCTAGGGTTTCCCCGCTGTCGAGGAAGGGCCCAGTCCCGTGGGCTGCGACGCCGGCATCACACTCCGAGCCACCTCTTTCCACTGACCTTCTACTGTCACCTAGCGGAGAGAAGGGGCAAGGGCTCCTCCGAGAGTTTGGCGGTTACCAAGCGACGGAGGCGGTGCGCTGCCAGGCCTAAGGAGGAGGACGCACACTAAAAGATGTTGAAAAGAGCTGTAACAACGCCGCTTTCTATTGGCTGAAGAGCTCTCGGCCACAGCCTTGAGCCAATGAGCAGGTACATGAGGATGACGTCAGACGCGACGAGACTCCTCCCACCACCTTCTAGCGGCTCGTCTCCCGACCGCTGAAACCTACTGTAAACTCGCGGGGGTCTTGACTTCCCCATGTGCACCTCGCAGCTAGTGATACTGCAGGTGTTCTTCCTGATGGTTCCCGAGAGCGTCTGGCTTCAGCCTTCCTCCCCGGCAGGGGCTACGCCCACCCCTTCGGACGTGGGGCCAGGGTCGCCTGGAGGGACCCTTCAGTCCTCCTCGGAGGGGTCTGAAACTCCCTGGCCTGTGCCTGGGATCTCTACGGTGGGTCCTGCGGTCGTGACCCCCTCTGCACCTGAGAATGGGACCGTAGACCTCTTCCCAGGTGAGGAGAGGAGATGTGGGGATGGAAAACCACTGACTTAGATCTAAACTTCTGTGAAAAAAGTGTATTGCCACTAAGTGAAGAGTGGGGCTGTGGAAGATGGGAATTCGCGCTTAAAAGTTTGGGACTCCTCATCCCATTCCCTCTGCTTTACCTTCATAGTCTTACCGGTCTGTGTCTGTGACTTGACTCCTGGCACCTGTGACATAAACTGCTGCTGCGACAGGGACTGCTATCTTCTCCATCCGAGGACAGTTTTCTCCTTCTGCCTTCCGGGCAGCGTGAGGTGAGCTGCCGTGTGCCGTTTGAATCCTAAAGGAGATTGAGACCCTGTAGGGTCTTACTGTAATGTCATATTTGGAAGTAGGAGGAATTATTCTTCCTGCTTTCCATCCCCACATCCACTTCTATACGTGGAATTACTTTGGTTTTTCCCAGGAGTGAAGTTCCTCCTCGGACTGTCTAGAGCAGGGCTGTCCGATAGAATAGGATCTTTGGGTTGTCCCATGGATGCCCAAGAAGGCCTCTCTTAGGCATTGACATGGGGCACGTTCTTTGCACCAAACCCTCCGCTTCTAAATGTATCTTTTCTTCATCCTATTTCCTCTCAGGTCTTCGAGTTGGATGTGTGTGGACAACTCTCTTATCTTCAGGAGTAATTCCCCATATCCTTCAAGAGTTTTCACGGATGCAGGTGGCATAAGACAGTTTTGTGTCCATGTGAACAACTGTGAGTAGATGTGTTGGCCATTCTTGTTGCCTAACATTTGTTGAAAGTTGCCTTTGTGTCTGGAATTTTTTTTTAACTTTTTTTTTCTGTTGAATTTCCATCATCTGCCCTCTTCTACCTCTCTGCCTGCTCCCTCTCTTTTTCTTATTAGTGAACGTTTGCAATTTCTTATGCCCTATTGGCTGCGGATCAGAAAATGCAAAATACAAAGCTTTAATTTCAGTCATCCCTATTAGACATAAGGAGATGGCTACAGGAACTTGGATAGATTTACATATTGCTTTAATATAAGTTAGAGAATCGTTACAGAATAGACCACTTTGGAGTGTCTGAAATTTTAAATGTAGAAATTCTGAAGTGGAAGGAAGGAAACATAAATCCATATACCTGAGAGATGGAAACATTATTAGGATTGGTCAGTTGAAGTTTAGAAGACACAGAAAGGACAAACGGAATGTTGTCTCCAGTTTTGCCATGTTCTGACAGAAACAGTACCATTTTGCTGTGCTAGAAATTCCGCTGGTATGGGGCAAATGTGAACATTATTGAGCCTCCTGTTTTCATTGCCATCTGCTAATCACTCACATTCCTGGCGTTAAGGACATGGAACTGACTGGCATTCATTGGCCATATTCTTACCTTAGATGTTAAGAGTAAAGCAATAATACCATTAACAGATTATACATAAAATAGAAGGCGGTAAAAATCAGAATTGTTGTCTTTGAAAGTGGAGTGTTTTTGATTGGGAGCCTTCAGGGAAAATGTTCTAGAACTTAATCTGAGTAGTAGAAATAAAAGTATATAATTATGTAAAAAATCATTTGAGTTTACACTTAAGGTGAGTGCATTTGCGTACTTTACTGTGTATATATTATGCCCCAATAAGAATATGTTTTAAAGTAGTTACCTGGCATGCCATATATTTTATTTTTTTTTTTTTTTTATTTTTTTTTTTTTTACAAATAGTTTATTGTCAAATTAGTTTCTACATAACACTCAGTGCTCATCCCCAAAGTGCCCTCCTCCATGCCCATCCCCCCCTCCCCCCCACATCCATCAGTCCTCAGTTTTTGTCAGCATTCAAGAGTCTCTCATGGTTTGCCTCTCTCCCTTTCCCCCACCATTTCCGCCCTTCTTCTCCCCCTTGTTCCTCCGTCAAGTTCCTCCTAATCCTCCTATACGTGCAAACATATGGTATTTGTCCTTCTCTGCCTGACTTATTTCGCTCAGCATAACACCCTCAAGGTCCATCCATGTTGCTACACATGGCCAGATGTCATTGTTTCTCATTGCCATGTAGTATTCCATGGTATAGATAAACCACATCTTCTTGATCCATTCATCTGTTGATGGACACTTAGGCTCTTTCCATGTTTTAGCTATTGTGGAGAGTGGCATGCCATATATTTTAAAATAAACGTTTTTCTTTTATCTAAACCCCTTTTCCTTTAAAAAAAAATTCTAGCAAAATTAAACTATTTCCAGAAGCTCCAAAAGGTCAATGCAACCAACTTCCAGGCCTTGGCTACAGAGTTTGGAGGCGAATCATTCACTTCAACATTCCAAACCCAGTCGCCACCACCTTTTTACAAGGTGAGCCTGGGGATAGGGATGGGACTGCTTGGTATGGTTTTCCCTCATAGCTGACAGTTGACCGGGTATCTTTGAGGTACCCTGCTGCAACTAGGTAAACCACTGTCAACTCTTTTAGAAGGTAGTATTGTCCATATTAACAAGCCATTGAGTTAATTTTTGTTTCTACTTTTTCTTTTCTGGTGGAGTTCAGTCCAATCTCACTGTGGATAAATTTATACTGTACTTTATTCAGGCTGGAGACCCCATTTTGACATATTTCCCCAAGTGGTCTATAATCAGCTTGCTAAGGCAGCCCGCCGGAGTTGGTGCTGGGGGGCTCTGTGCCGAGAGCAATCCTGCAGGTGAGTTCAAAACAAAAGTGCCAACCTTTTGTTCAATTTAAAATAGGCCTTTCTTAGAGGCACCTGGGTGGCTCAGTCAGTTGGTTAAGCATCCGGCTTCGGCTCAGGTCATGATCTCATGGTTCATGGGTTCAGGCCCTGCGTCAGGCTTTGTGCTGACAGATTAGAGCCTGGAGCCTGCTTCAGACTCTGTCTCCCTCTCTCTCTGCCCCTGTCCCACTTATGCTCTGTTTCTCTCTCTCAGAAATAAACATTAAAAAAATTTTTTTAATAAAATAAAATAGGATTTCTTAGCAATTGGTTTTAAAAAGTTCAAAAAAGTTGTTTTAAATAAAGATAAAATTGGCTTTCTCTTTTATCACTCCCTTAATTCTTTGTGTTCTTAGGTTTCCTGGAGAGTAAAAGTACAACCTGTGCTCGTTTCTTCAAGAACCTGACAAATAGCTGCACCTTGGACCCAACCCTCAATGCTGCCTCTTACTATAACTTCACAGTCTTAAAGGTGATGTCCCTTCCCTCCAAGTCAACATGCTTCCCACTATTGGGCTGTGGAAGAAGCACTGAACTGAAAGTCAGAATGCCTGAGAGCTACAAAAAAGGCAGAGGGCCCAGAAACCCTATCATCTTAAGAAAGATGGAAGAATTGAGGACGTACACCCAAGATAAGAGATTCTACCCTCCTGGCTAATGGAATTGGCTTGCGAGGGGGGAAGGGATGACCTTGCACTATTTCACCAAAACCTCTTGCTTTTGCTGTTCGGTAGAGCTTTGCTCAGAGCAGGTGTGTCACAGTCCAACCTCCTCTCAGCTTTACTCATAGCATTTTAGTATAAAGAAGAGTCAGGTGGAAGAGAAGGATCATTTTAATATATTCATTTTTCCTTCCCACATGTGAAACCATAAGCAACTGGAGATTTTCTCTGAGGTCTATGCACACTCAGGTTCTTGCTGTTCTCTTATTCTAGGTTCCAAGAGGTATGACTGATCTGCAGAATATGAAGGTACGACATTGTTTATCATGGAAAAAGAAGGACACTATTTGGTCCATTTGTATCTGAGGAGATTTCAGTCTAGATTGTAATTGTGAAAGCAAATCTATGTGTCATATATCAAACTGTTAGGTGTGAACCTAAAACATTTTCCCATGTATGTCATTTATTATTAATAAGCATCACATGAAATAAAAATTCATAAGGTGTTAGATAAGCTTGGGAAACATTGGGTTAAGTAAAGTTAAACATTATATTTAGAGTGATCGTCTTGGAGTCTTTAATGTGCTAAAGGGCCCTGGTACTCTTTAAGAGGAGAGTATTGGGTATAGTATTTCTAAAATTTATTTGACCGTGGGACCTTTATTTTATATCTAGTAAAATTAATGACCTAAGAAATATGTTTTGAGAAATGAGGCTGACTTAAAATTATTTTTTATCTTAAGTTGTGGGCTGGCAATGGGAAAGAGAGAGGATGATGGTAATCAAAAATGAAAAAATATTCATTTCAGGGTAATGTGTAGCTAGAAGAGAAAATACTGCTTTCATTTTCAGTTGATTTACTTCTTTCCTTTGCTAGTTCCAGGTTCCCGTAACCCTTGTCTCACAGGCTGGTTCTCCTCTCTTGTCTGGAAACACTTGTCAGAATGTGGTTTCCCAGGTAAGGACGCTGATCTCAGATTCTAGACTGTTCCTTGGTCATTGATCAACATTACCAGAGGTGCCTCATCTTCCATTAAGTACTAGACCAACCCCACAGGAATTTTTGTGCATAGAACTTAACATGTCAGAAACTGAGCCCATCACCTCCCTCCTACCATGTTTCAGTTTCCATTGCTGCCTTTCTCCTATATTGCACACCCAAAAGACTAAGATTACTTCTACTTTTCTATCTTTTCCCATTTGCGGTTTATTATATTTTGTACCGCATTTTCTTCTCCTGACAAAAACTAGTATCATCTGAAAATCTGAAATAGAGGAGTCAACTTCTTTTCCTCTATTCTCCCTTTTTAATCAAGGTGAAGAAGGAAGAATTATCTTAAGCATCACTTTAAAGCCTGCTCAGAAATCTAAGATTACCTTCAATTGTTTACAACTTCCATATCCAGCTACTATCTTCATTCATCCTCAGACATTGGCAGAGTCAAGTAAACCAGGTGTCCATTCCATGCTCCCCTCTCTACTTATCTTCTCTGCATACAATCAAAACTCCTTTTTCTTCCCTTTCGATCCTTACCATAAACTTACTTCTCTTCTGAACTCTTTCAAAGAACTTTCAAACCCTTTCAAAGATCCAGTATCTTTTTGCATGTGTGGGTATAAGATGATGTCTACTTTATCTTTTCATGGTATTTGTGTTTGGTATTTTTAAGATTACTTGTTTAGTTTCCCTCATTCAGTTATTTCTTTTAGGTACACCAAATGATAATTTCATATATTACATTGTATTGGTTTTAGGTCCACAGCATGATAATTTATATATATATATTTAGATATAAGCATGATAATTTCATACACACACATATAGTGAAATGATTACCACAGTAAGTTTAATGGATATTCATTACCACAGTTAAACATTTTTTTCCTGCAGTGAGAACTTGTAAGATCTACTCTCTTAGCAACATTCAAATATAATAATACACTATTGTTAACTATATTCACTATACTGTACACTCATTCAGTTACAATAAAACTCTTAAAAGATAGAAAATCTTCTGTATAATTGGCCCATTAAATAATTTTTAGGGGTACCTGGGTGGCTCAGTTGGTTAAGCAATCAATTCTTGGCTCAGATCATGATCTCACAGTCATGAGATTGAACCCTGCATCAGGCTCCACACTAGGTATGGAGCCTGCTTGAGATTTCCTCTCCCTCTGCCCCTCCCCTTCTCACACATGCACTGTCTAAATAGATGACTAAATGAATAAATAGATAAATTTCATTAATTGATTTTATTTTTGAATTTCAGGTCATCTATGAGATAGAGACCAATGGGACTTTTGGAATCCAGAAAGTCTCTGTCACTTTTGGACAAACCAACCTGACTGTGGAGCCAGACACTTCCTTACAGCAGCACTTCGTCATTCACTTCAGGGTTAGCGCCCTTCTTCTAGAGAGGATTGAGAGGGCAAGAAATACTGGGTTAGAAATAGTTCCTGTGCTTCTCTGATGCATGCAAAATAGATTACAAATATGAAGGCCTAGTTCAGTCTGTCAACTGAGGCCTCAACATTTGCTATTCCATAATTTCATTACAAGTGATAGAGATTCGACAACATTTATTCAGTAAATTTTTTCCCATTCTCTATCTGGCCTCCAGTGAAGCAGGACTTTAGTCTCAAATCCAAACTCTTTTTAAATCATCACTTTGAATCATAAATTCAGCCAGCCTCCCACAGAAATTCTTTAACTAGCTTTGCTCATATATCTGGGCATTCAGCAAGTTTTTGTTTGTTTTTTACTTTTACTCTTTTATATTTCTGCACTATTTATGTGCTTATAATGATATTTTGCCTGTGTGTATTTATGAACATGTCAAATTATAATCTGATGACATTCACCTTTTATTCATTTCTCATTTAGTCTAATTTTCCAATCTGGATCACCATCTTTTGGCTTTCTTCTACTCTTACTTCTTTCTTTTGAACCCAGCGGGGTCTGGTTGCTTGTCATCTCTTCCCTCGTGATCAACCAAGTCTCATGTCTCTCACAGTTTATCTCTGGAACATTGATATTAATTAAAAGATATTTCTAAATTATGTTCAAATTCCTCAATTGATCGTAGTTTTTAAGAAACAGGTTGGTAGATCCTTGGTTGTAATCCTTGGTAGAAGTAGCATCTAGTGAATTTCAATATGCAGATCACTCAGGGCCTATTTTAGTGAATGAAAAGTAAAAGCTGTTGGGAGTACAAATTTCTGCAAAATGCTCCACTGCATAAGGGAGCCAGATTGTTCAGTGCTACTAACTTACTGCATTGCCGTAAAAAAAGGTGTGGAGCCACACAGGAAAGCAGGCTTTCTTTTCTTCACTCTTTTTGCAGGCTTTTCAACAGAGCACAGCTGTACCTCTTACTGGTCCTAGAAGTGGGAATCCTGGCTATATTGTTGGGAAGCCACTTTTGGCCCTAACTGGTGATAAAAGTCACCCTGTATCCTTTTTGGAACTTGAGTAGCCTGTTGCAGCCTAATGAGAAAAGCTGCAGCTGTTGATCTTTTGAGTTTTCCAATTCTGAGGTCCCCTGATTTTTTTAGGTATTCAGGACTTCCTTTACCAAACCATTAATCCATTATGTTCTCTAAGTTGTTGCTACCAAAGGCTGAAGGTGTTTGTTTTAATGAAATACTTATATACTGGTGTGTGGTTAGCCATTTGGAAGAAAACAGTAATTGTTTCTGTGTTTTTTAATTACTAGGAAAGAACAAATTTGTAACTTGAACAGTGTTATGATATTAGTAAAAAATAATAATAAGAGCATAAGTTTTCCAGTCTGCTTTCTTTTCCTTCTGTTATACTCTCCTTGACCATCACTTTCCACCTCAGATGACCCTTCTGCAGAGCCAGGGTGATGGAATTTGCTCTGTTAAGAAACATGAAGTACAATTTGGAGTTAATGCAATATCTGGATGCAGGCTCAGGTAATTCTTTGCTTCCACATCATTTCCCACAATTTTGTCTCTGTCTGTAGGGAATATGTTGATAAAGACAACTTTTATATTTTGAACGACAATGCTAGTTAGGAGTAGTTTTATAATCTAAATAATATTAATATTGCTAAGACTTTTCTGACAGTCTCTTATACCTACCAATAAGGATTATTTCCTCCAATTTATTTTATAATATTAAAAAAAAAATTTAACATTTATTTATTTTTGAGAGACAGTGCAAGCCGGGAGGGACAGAGAACGAGGCAGACAGGGAATCCAAAACAGGCTCCAGGCTCTGAGCTGTCAGTACAGAGCCTGATGGAGGGCTTGAACCCATGAACCATGAGATCATGACCTGAGCTGAAGTCAGACACTTAACTGACTGAGCCACCCAGGCGCCCCTATAATATTATTTTTAATGTTTGGATTAATATGTTAGTGTTGAACTCCAGCCTCCATGGTGTTTCATTTCAGGCCAAAAAACGTGGACTGCAGCCACTTACAGCAGGAAATTTATCAAACTCTTCATGGAAACACTAACCCAGAACATGTCGCCATCTTTGGTAACGCTGACCCAGCCCAGAAGAGAGAGTGGACGAGGATTCTCAGCAGGAACTGCAGTGTTTCAGTAAGGAGAGAAATATACATTCTCACAGAAACTCACTTTCCTCTTTTGTTTGTAAATTATGGATATTAAAATTAAAACCAGCCCTGTTTCCATAGATGATGTGATTCTCATAGAAGGAAGATAATGTGGTTGTCATAAAAGGAAGACTACAAGAAATCATGCCCATTTGAAGTTATTATTTCAGGTTAGGTTTTTCCAACTTACTTTCCTCACTTGAAAAAAAATTTGAAGATAGAAAATCTAGAGATTGTTCTATGGTTCAAAATCAACCTTACTTATAGTAAGTGAAAATATCTTATTTGAAATATTCTCTTATATTCTTGAATGTTTGATCAACACAGATTCTTCAAGGTTGCAATTGTATTTTCTTTCTGTTATAAAAGTTTACATATTTATATTTAATAAAAAATACATTATTAATAGGTTAAAAATTCAAACCATATATATAATGGTATTCAATGAAGAGTGAAAACCCCTACACCGCCTTCCCTAAAAGGAAACTCACTTACCTGTTTCTGTTTTGACTTTTCTTGGTGGCCCACTAGATCAGTGCCAGCAAGTGTGTTTCTGGACTCCAGCTCAGGTGAAATAAGTAAATCTGCTATGATATTCTGTATTCTTCGTCTTTTGCCTAACCCCCTGTCTCCACACTTTAGTCTCAGCTATACCTTTAATTTTCTTTTAAAATTTTAAATTGTTGGGGCCCCTGATGGCTCAGTCAGTAAAGTGTCCGACTTCAGCTCAGGGCATGATCTCACGGTCTGTGAGTTTGAGCCCCACATCAAGCTCTCTGCTGACAGCTGATTCTGGAGCCTGCTTCAGATTTTGCGTCTCTCTGTCTCTGTCTCTGTCTCTGTCTCTCTCCTCCCCACCCCTTACCCGCTCATGCTGTCTCTCTCTCTCTCTCTCTCTAAAAAAAAAAAAGAAAAATAATAAATATTAAAATATATGTATTAAAATTTTATTTTTCTGTATAAGTAATACATCCACTTGGCTCAAAAGCCAAAAGATACAGAATAAAAATCTATGTCGCAAACAGCTCTTCCCTTCCACAGAAGCAACTGAAATTACCTGTTTCTTTCCTTCCAGAGATACTGCATGTTCACACAAGTATATACTCTTGTGCTTTTTTTATCCATATGATATAACATCACAGACACTGTTTTACACAGTGTCTATGCTTTTTCACTTGATCTTAGAGTGTGTTCCATATTAGTACATAATGTGCTTCCTCATTCTTCACACATATGACTGCATGATATTGTATTACATGGATGAACCATAATCATCCAGATTTTTTGGTAGACATTCAGGTTGTTTTCAGTCTTTGCTCTTAGATACAATGCAGCATTTTGTTGCCTGGCTCAGGCATCATTTCATACATAAGAGAATAAAGCTATATGTTAACTTCTAGAGTAGAATTGCTAGATCAAAGGTATATGCATTTACATTTTTAATAAATGTTATCAATTTATTCCCCATACAGGTTGCACGAATTTACAGTCCCATCATTCATCTGTGACACTGCTTTTTTTTCCCAACCCTCTTTAATACTGTGTCATGAAAATTTTTAATCTTTTTTCATAAGAGAAAATTAGTATCTCAGTGTAGTTTTATTTTTCTCTCACTGTAAGTAACGTTGAGTATTTTGAAATGTGGTTGAACAATTTGTGTTTTATTCACTATATCTATTTATATTGCTTGCCCATTTTTATTGAGCTACTGTGTTATGACTTACAGGAAATCTTTGCAAATTTGAGAAGTGAACTCTTTTGGTATGATTTGCAGATATTTTTTCCCAGTTTGTCATTTTTCTTTTGACTTTGTTTCTGGTATTTTTTTATACTGTGAAAGATACCAATTAATTTTCTTTATGTAACCTTTGAGTTTTGGTTCAGACTTTGAAAAGCCTTTCTCTTTAGAGATTATTTTGAAAGTTCCCTTTTCTCTTCTGCAACACTATTATGACTTTATTCCTTATATACTTCTTTCCTTTTAAGAAAACTTGGGGTGATAAGTAAACATGTGTACTTGATCCAGGCTTTGGGCAACTGAGAAGTCAAGCTAAGTTCTCATTAATCTCCCACATAGCCCTACAGAGGAAGTGTGGTTTGGGGTGATTGTGGCTGAGAACAGGAAGAAGATGGTTAGAGACAAGGTTGAGATTATACTGGAACTACTCTTTATTATTTTTATTTCCTAACATTAAAAAAAAGGGGGGGGTGCGCCTGGGTGGCTCAGCCAGTTAAGCATCCAACTTTGGCTCAGGTCATGATCTCATGGTTCATGGGTTTGAGCCCCGCATCGGGCTCTGTGCTGACTGCCAGCTCAGAGCCTGGAGCCTGTTTCAGATTCTGCGTCTCCGTCTCTCTCTGACCCTCCCCCGCTCATGCTGTCTCTGTCTCTCAGAAATAAATAAAACATTAAAAAAATTTTTTTTAATTAAAAAAAATAAAAATAAATTAAAAAATAAAAATATAAAAATATTGAGACAAACACATGAAAGGCTCAACATTGTTAGCCATTAAGAAAATACATAATCGGGGCGCCTGGGTGGCTTAGTCAGTTAAGAGTCCAACTTTCGCTCAGGTCATGATCTCGCGGTTCGTGGGTTCGAGCCCCGCGTCAGGCTCTGTGCTGACTGCCAGCTCAGAGCCTGGAGCCAGTTTCAGTCTGTGACTCCCTCTCTCTCTGACCCTCCCCTGCTCATGCTGTCTCTCTCTCTCTCCTAGAAATAAATAAAACATTAAAAAAAAATTAAAAAGAAAAGAAAATGCATAATCACAATGAGATACCACTTCACACCCATTAGGATGGCTATTCTTAAAAGACAGACACTAATGAGTGTTGGCAAGGATGTGTAGAAACTGGAACCCTGAGACATCATTGATGGGACTGCAAATGATACAGTCACTTTGGGAAATAGTGCTAATTCCTGAATAAAATAAGCTTAAATATGGTCTGTCTCCCCCCTAATTGACATACTATTATTGCCAGTGTCTGAGCCTTACTAGAAAAAGGTATGAAGCTAGGAAAGCACAAGGCATATATGATGATAGTGCCTGGTGTCTGCTAAGTTATAATAACCTGATTGATGTCCTCACTTCCTTCAGTCCTTCTTACCTCTTGGAATTAATCTTCCTGGAGTCAGACTTCTTGGTTGGATTTCATAATCTAAATCGGAAATGTCTTCCTTACCCTTTCATTGCTTCTGTGTACAAATCCTTTGCTTTAGTCAAGTGGTCTGCTCAAGGCCAGTGCCTCCATCATGCCTGGCACAAAGAAGACAACTGTAACTATTATTCAAATTGATCAGTGAATATCCCTCCATGGCATCATGTGCTGTTCTAGTTCCACACACCCTTTTATATGCCATCTTTCTACCTGAATTTTCCTCTCAACACCATTTCTACCAGTCACACATTACTCATCCCAGTCCTGTAAAGCCATGCTCAACCAGAAATGGCTGTTTCTTCTGGCATTCCACAGCACTGACTATGCACCACTACTGAGCACTTCTTATAGTCCTTGTACGTGGGTTCACATCTTATTAATCTCTGTATTAGTCATTTCCATTTTAGAATATTAATTTTTTTAAGATCAAGGACAATAGTATGGTCTATTGTGAACTTTTATGTTCTTTCTCTAAGTCCTATTACCTTCTCTGTTATGTATATTGTTTAAGAAACAATGGCTACATAATGCATGGTAACTGACTATAGGCAACCATCAGCAATTCAAGCAGATGTTTCTTTACCCTTCTACAGGCTATGCATTGTACTCCCTGCTGTGTCATACCAGTTTCCTTGGAGATCCAGGTATTGTGGGCATATATAGGCCTCCAGTCCAACCCACAAGCTCATGTGTCAGGAGCCCGATTCCTATACCAGTGCCAGTCCATAAAGGTAAGTTATGGCTCATAAAGTACTGCTGAGCCTTGAAATGCGTGGATAATCTTACCATCTGTATGAGAAACAGATGACTTTTTAACATTGAGAGCCAGTTTATGCTACCAGCCAGCATTTGGTTAGGGAAAGCTGATATAACTTTCAAGTCAATCCTCCCTGCCTGATTATTGAAATTAGCATGTTGTCATGATAAATACAGTCTATCTCTTTTTCCCCATTTTCTTTTCTTTTTTAATTTCCTGAACCCAGACTATATTATAGGCTAATTTCTTTTTCATTATCATACCAGTGTGGGGCGTCTGGGTGGCTCATTTGGTTAAGCATCCAGCTCTTGGTTTCAGCTCGGGTCATGATCTCATGGTTTCGTGAGTTCAAGCCCCGTGTTGGGTTCTGTGCTGGCAGTAAGGACCCTGCTTAGGATTCTGTCTCCTCTCTCTTTGACACCGTCCCCCCACTCATGCTGTCTCTGTCTCTCTCAAAGTAAATAAATCAACTTTTAAAAAAATTATCACGTTGATTTATTATACCAGTTGATTTAACCACAGAAAACATTTTCCATAAGTCTGCATTCAGTATGACAGTCACACACTTATCAGAGTCTGTAAGCCTATTGATTGGTTAAAGATACTTCTGTGGCTAGTTTGCAGTCATCAATTCTTAGTTGATTGCATTCCATTAAAATAAATAATTTTAGTGTAGTAAACATATACCTATTATTTATGATGTGTGTTAAGACAGCTTTAACATCTGCCTTGGTTTTAGTATGTAATCCTTAGCTTTAGAATTACAAAAACAGAAATGATTAAGTCCTGGTTAACTGATTCACATATAAATTGGCATGCCAGTTTAACTTTTAATGAACTTTAACTTTTAACGAAAATTAAAACTAACTGAAATTATTACCTCTATGTCATTGCATTTATATCCCAGAAAAGAAAGAAGCTGGAGACTGCATGTCGGTCAGAAGTAAAATATCTTTAGCTCCTTCTTACAACAGGGTTGAGTATCTTAGCTCCCTATGCCTGTAAATGGGGTTAAAACTCAAGTTACCAGAAACTGTTAGTGAAAGTACTCCATTTTTTCTCTGTATTACTGAATAGCATAACACTATTTCTGTAAGCTTCATTTAATCTGTTACAGATCCTGCACTGAATATATTGTTTTGTTTTTCTAAACTGTCTTTATATGCAAGTTGGGGAAGATAACCATAAGACTATTCCTTTTTCTCTGAATCTCTGGTTTTCTTAGGCCTGGAAGCCACCCAGGGCCTCTCACTTATGTAGATGTTTTAATCATTATCATTTTTCTAGTATTAAGTAGAAGTTGGCTTTTTGGATTAGTTTGCCCCCTCTACAAAATCACACTTTGCAGTCAGTCACATCTAACTGGCCTAATTGGTTGACAATTGAAAATTTCAGCTGTGCTTCATTCATGTATAACTGAAGACAGTATCTATTCTAATCATGGAACAAAAATTAACTCTGCTGAACTTACTGAGAGGTGGTACAGGATATACTATATCATATGCATTTACTTAGGAGGATTTAAAGGATTTACAAAGGTAATTGTGACTATATAAAAATTTTCACCTTTAGGGCTGACTTGAGAAACTTGCTCCCTTCCACAGAAGCAACTGAAATTACTAGTTTCTATATATTTTACAATACAACCTACCTTATGGCACACACATACATAAAAGTGAAATGAAAGTTTTATAAAACATTTTTATGCAACACACAATGTGATATTGTCTATTCTATTGTAGTTTATTCTGGTTTTTTTTTTTAATGCTGGACACTAATGAGTCACAGTTTGCAATTTGAAAATCACTTTTAGAAAATACATCTCTGACTACATTTTAAAGCTAATTATGTTGTTTTATTTACTAATTCCTTCTATTCATTATAACTGAAAGTTGGCAGTGTTTTGTATCTCAAATAGCATATGCTAGAATAACTGCCAATCTAGGTCCCAATCTGTTGTAGTGGGTTTTAATCTTAGGGACCCACACTAAGAATCTGTTGAAAGCTATTCACTTACTAGAAAAGTGCATAGACATGCAATATTTTTTATATAGTTTTAAAGGGTTTATTGATTTCTTGAAGCCAAGCTAAGACCTAGACTAGGAAAGAACACTAAACAAAATGAAATCTACTTGATTTTAGAAACAATTGCTATAAAGGAAAGGGCTAGGAAGTGGCTGGATTGGTATTTCTCTTACCTATTGAGATCTTAGAAAATATCACCACCTTTGGATCACTGTTACAGTCTGTAAAGTTTCTGTCACCAAAGTCTTTATTTTTCAAGGATCAGTCAACCACCATTTGCCTCTATCTCTTAATGAATGATAAGACTATAAAAGTACTTGACCTCCTAGTATAGTTCTTAACAGTCTTTATAGACAAACCTTACTTCATTGACAGGGTGTTTTCTTTCTACCTTTTTTTTTTTTTAAAGAACTTTTGAAAGTTATGCTTATTTTTCCATATGTTCAAATGTATAACCACTTGAGATGTCTCCCTGATTCATAATGTTGAACCACATTTATTCTCTAACATATTCATTCTCCTTGACTCATTTGAAAATCTTGATAATTTCATTGCCATCTTTAAAATACTGAGGGAGTTTAAAATTTTTCATTGGCTTCTCCCTCAAATATATGTTTGGCCCTTAAAAATATGGAGAACTAACATGTACATTATCTAGCATAATATTGTACACAATTATTTTTTAGAAATTATTATTCTCCTTAATTTCACTTTATTTAAATAATTAGTTCTCCTAAAGTCATAGTGTTAATATCAGATACCAGCTAACTTATTAAAGATCATGTACTTATATGAGGAAAAATTACCTTTACATGGGCCTTTATAATATGCTTTGTAGTTAAATAAGTTCTAATCATCATAATAGAAATCACCATATCTTATTGTGTTAGATTAAAAGAGACTCATGAATAAAATAATCACATACAACTTATTTTTTTGCATTGGATTCTGATTTGGACAAACAACTGTAAATCTAATTTTGGAATAGTTGGGAAACTTGAGTATAGACTACCTTTTAGAAAGAAATATTAACAGGAAAAGATAGAGGTTCTTTTTTTTTTTTTTAAGTAGATTTCTAAGCAGCCTGAACAATATGATTTCACATGGTTAAAAACATATATATGGATGTCTGTATGTATAGGACTGATATTCTTCAAAATGGAAATAGAGTATTTTTGTTTCTCCTTTTTACTAACTAATAGTCTTAACCTTTTATAATATAATTTACTGCTTTTGTAGTAATTAAACTTTCTTAAAGTCACTAGGAAAACACCTAGAAATAACTAGATGTTATTTTAAAGATGAATTTATTCAGTTTCATTTACAGTAACATGAAAAATATAAAATACTTATGAACCAATTTAGCCAAAGAGCAAAAGACCTATTCACTGTAAAACATTATAGGGAGAAATTTCAGGAGACCTAATAAATGAAGCCATATACCATGTGCATGGAGAAGATGACTCAACATTAAGATATCTGTTCCCAAATAGATCTAACAGAATGAATGGAAATCCCAAAAAATCCTGGCAGGCATTTTTGTGGAAATGGACAACTTCATTTTAAAATTTATATTAAAATGCAAAGGACTTAGAATAACCAAAACAATTTTGAAAAAGAAGAACAAAGTTGGAGGACTTAACTCTTGATTTCAGGATATACTCTAAATCTCAGTAGTATGGTACTGACAAACAGAGGCTCCTGGGTGGCTCAGTTAGTTGAATGTCCAACTTGGGCTCAGGTCATGATCTCGCAGTTGGTGAGTTTGAGCCCCATATCAGGCTCTGAGCTGTCAGCTCAGAGCCTTTGGCTACTAAGGATTCTGTGTCTCCCCCTCTCTCTGCCGCTCCCCTGCTCATACTCTGTCTCTGTCTATGTCTCTCTCTCCTTCAAAAATAAATAAACATTTAAAAAAAAATTTATAGACGAATAGACCAGTTAGACAAAATAGAGTCCAGAAATATATCCACAAATCAAATCAATTCAGTGAGAAAAGGACTTGTTAAAAAATAGTTGGTACTGCAACAACTGGATAAAACTGGAACTACTGAATAAACATAGGGGAAAAAATGAATTGACTCCATATACAAAAAGTACTTATCCTCGCATCACAAACCTATATATGAAACCCAGAGTCATAAAACTTTTAAAGGAAACGTAGGAGGATATTTTTGCAAATTTAAAGTAGGCAAGTATTTCTTCTTGAATAAGAAACAAAAATTAGGGGCGCCTGGGTGGCTTAGTCGGTTAAGTGTCCGACTTTCGCTTAGGTCATGATCTCGCGGTTCGTGGGTTCGAGCCCCGCATCGGGCTCTGTGCTGACTGCCAGCTCGGAGCCTGGAGCCTGTTTCAGTCTGTGACTTCCTTTCTCTCTGACCCTCCTCTGCTCACGCTGTCTCTCTCTCTCTCTCCTAGAAATAAATAAAACATTAAAAAAAAAAAAAAGAAACAAAAATCAAACCATAAAACTAAAAATTTGATAAATAAGTCTTTTTCAAACTTTAAAATAACTGCTAATCAAAAGACACCTCTATGAAAATGAAAATGCACGCTATAGTTTGGTAGAAAATACTTTTCAATGCATTATCTGACAAAAGATTAATACCCAAAAGCTAAAAAGAATGCCTACAAATAAATAATGCAAGGACTAAAATAAATTAAATTAACTAAAAATGGAAAAATTAAACAGATACTACACAAAAGGAAATAAACAAATGGCCAATAAACTTGGAAAGGTGCTCAAAGTCATTAGGGATATACAAATTATAACCATGAAATACCACTCACAAGGAAATTAAAAATATTTACTAAAATAACTAAAATCAAAAAGACTGATAACATGAAATCTCAGTTTTCATACGTTGCTAATGGGGATGAAAATGGTACAACCATTTAGTCTTTTATATATTCATCTTCCCTGTGACCCAGCAATTTTACTCCTTGGTATTT